ATCACTTGAGGCTCTCTTCACATTTTCAAGATGGCAAACAGACACAGGCTGTGGTGTGCAATACCCTTTCTTCCAGACAGCAGGGGTCTGGGCAGATTCAATAATGCCCATTTTCCATCCAAAAAGTTTAAATCACTCTGACAGCCAACCAATATGTTTTCATATTAGTATCCATCTCATTACTCATATACCAGCCCACCCCCAATCACTATAGAAGTGGAATATTCTAGCCTATTAAAAATGAAACATTATTAAACACACAGGGGTACAGAGAGTGGTTTATTAAATAAATTAGTTATTCATTTTGTCGCATCAATCTGCTAAGAGACTGGGCTGGAGGCAGTCAGACCTAGTGGACAGACCAAGACTATAGACCCACAGTCAAAGTCTAAATGTCAAAGCCAAGGGTTAAGACAGAGTCATCACCAGAAATCAGGATTATAACTGCAACCAGAATCCAAACTCCAGAGCCAATGGCGGAGACAAAGTGAGATCCAGCAGTCAGGGCTGAGAGTTACAACTGGATTACCTGGAGTCAAAGAAGGCAGAAACAGAGCAAGTTTTAAAGGCAGGAACAAGTCTAGGAGAAGACTGGAACAAGGCAAGGTGCAGGGCAGGATCAAAACTGGAGGAGAGCAGAAGCAGGGCTTGGAGAGAGGCTAGCACAGGAAGACAGAGAATATACAACCAAGTCCATTGAGCAGCCAGCTTCCTCAGCCAACCAGATATGACTTGGGTAAATATGGTTATCCTAGAAGTAAAATATTCCAATAAGCACTAGCTTTGGGGAGACATGTACTTATCACAGGACCAATGTTGATGGGTAATTCAAATATTTACCTATCAAATTTTACTGAAATAAAAGGAAATTGCTGTTCTGCTCTAGAGAAAGAGCTCTAAGAGGAAGCCTAAGAAATGGACAAGAAAGGTAACAGGCATGCAAATTACCCACTCAATGTGCAAGGAACAAGCTCATCTTCAATGCTTTAATAAAGATGTATTGGACAGCAAGTCTGATGCCACCAGCCATAAGGATTCACATGATCCAGTGTATATTAAAGCTGCTGCAGTTGCAAAACTATTTTAAAAGCAGTTTTTAAAAAGGGGGATTTGGTGACTGAATAGGCAAACCACTGGAAACCATCAAACTGATACCAGGCCCGGCCTCTCACAACTCTCTTGATACCTTTAATCATGGACCCAGTGGTTTTAACTTTGAAATATTCTAATCCTGATCATTCTCCCTCTCACTGGAACAAATCAGGAATAACTCTAATAAGATCAATGGTCCTAGTTCCCTGGGCTACATCTAGACTGGCCACAAATTCCGGAAAAGAGATGCAAATCAGGTAAGTCAGCATAGGGAAATCCGTGGGGGATTTAAATATCCCCCGCGGATTTAAATAAACATATCCGCCGCTTTTTTTCCGGCTTGGGGAAAAGCCGGAAAAAAAGCGTCTAGACTGGCGCGATCCTCCGGAATAAAGCCCTTTTCTGGAGGATCTCTTATTCCTACTTATTTGACTTTCAAGTAGGAATGAGTGATCTGGGCCGGCCCTGCCCCAGGCGCGCAGCGCATGAGCGGTGCTGGCCCTGGGCGAATGGTGCGTAGGAGGCCCCGCCCCTGGGCACGCGGCGTGTGGGCGACCCCGCCCCCGGGCAAAAGGTCAGGGACCACTGTGTTAATGCAGCCTCAATTGAATTTCCTTCTTTTTGCACCAGCATCACACTGTTGACACAGATCTTTCTCAGCAGTGCTGCTGCTAAGCCACTTTATCCCCATTCTTTATTTGTGCATCTGTTTTTCCTTTCCTAAGTGCAGCACCTTAAATTTGTCTTTGTTGAATTTCAATTTGATGTCTATAGCTCCATTTTCCAATTTATCAAGATCCCTTTGAATTTTAGTTCTCTCTTTGAAAATGTTTGCAACCCTCCATCCACTCCCAGATTTGTGTCATCTGCAAATGAGATCAGTATGCTTTCTATTCCTACATCCAGGTCATTAATAAAGAGGTTAAATAACACCAGGCCCAGAACCCCTATGGACTCCATTCGAGACATCATTCCAAGCTGACTTCATTCACTAATAGTTACTCTTTGTTTGCAATTATGTAACCAAGTATGTATCCACTTAATGATAGTTCTACTGAAAATAGATTTCTCCAGCTTACTTCTGAGAAACTCACATGGGACAGCGACAAGGAGTCCTGTGGCACCTTATAGACTAACAGATGTATTGGAGCATAAGCTTTCATGGGCAAAGACCCACTTCATCAGATGCATGTACTGGAAATTTCCAGAGGCAGGTATAAATATACAGGCTAGAGATAACAAGGTTAATTCAGTCAGGGAGGGTGAGGCCCACTTCTAGCAGCTGATGTGGAGGTGTGAACACCAAGGCTGTGTCTATATTGGCACCCCTTTCCGGAAAAGGGATGCTAATGAGACCAGTCGGAATTGCAAATGCCACGGGGGATTTAAATATCCCCCGCGGCATTTGCATGAACGTGGCTGCCACTTTTTTCCGGCTCGGGGTTTTGCCGGAGAAAAGCGCCAGTCTAGACGGGATCTTGAGGAAAATAAGCCCTTTTCCGGAAGATCCCTTATTCCTACTTTCAAGGGCTTATTTTCCGCAAGATCCCGTCTAGACTGGCGTTTTTCTCCGGCAAAACCCCGAGCCGGAAAAAAGCGGCAGCCATGTTCATGCAAATGCCGCGGGGGATATTTAAATCCCCCGCGGCATTTGCAATTCCGACTGGTCTAATTAGCATCCCTTTTCCGGAAAGGGGTGCCAATGTAGACACAGCCCAAGAGAGGAGAAAGTGTTTTTGTACTTGACTAACCATTCACAGTCGTTATTTAATCCTAAAAAGGATGGTGTCAAATTTGCAGATGAACTGTTGCTCAGCAGTTTCTCTTTGAAGTCTGGTCTTGAAGTTTTTTTGCTGCAGGATGGCTACCTTTAAATCTGCTACTGTGTGTCCAGGGAGATTTAAGTGTTCTTCTATGGGTTATTGTATATTATATTCCTAATATCTGATTTGTGTCCATTTATTCTTTTACATAGGGACTGTCCAGTTTGGCCGATGTATATAGCAAAGGGACATTGCTAGCACATGATGGCGTATATTATATTGGTAGATGTACAGGTGAATGAACCAGTGATGGTGTGACTGATCTGGTTAGGTCCTGTGATGGTGTCGCTGGTATAGACATGAGGGCAGAGTTGACACCGAAGTTTGTTGCAGGGATTGGTTCCTGAGTTAGAGTTACTGTGGTGTGGTGTATAGTAGCTGGTGAGAATTTGCTTTAGGTTGGCGGGTTGTCTGTGGGCAAGGATTGGCCTGCCTTCCAAGGCCTGTGAAAGTGAGGGATTATTGTCCAGGATGGGTTGTAGATCACTGATGATGCATTGGAGAGGTTTTAGCTGAAGACTGTAGGTGATGGCCAGTAGTGTTCTGTTGGTTTCTTTCTTGGGCTTGTCTTGTAGTAGAAGCCTTCTGGGTACATGTCTGGCTCTGTTAATCTGTTTCCTCACTTCCCCGTGCGGGTATCATAGTTTCAAGAATGCTTGGTGAAGATCTTGTTGTAGGTGTTGGTCTGTGTCTGAGGGGTTGGAGCAGATGCGGTTGTACCTTCGTGCTTGGCTGTAGACAATGGATCATGTGTTGTGTCTGGGATGGAAGCTGGAGGCATGAAGGTAGATATAGCAGTCAGTATGTTTTCAGTATAGGGTGGTGTTTATGTGATCATTACTTATTTGCACCATGGTGTCCCGGAAGTGGATCTCTTGTGTAGACTGGTCCAGGCTGAGGTTGATGGTGGGTGGAAGCTGTTGAAATCGTGGTGGAATTCTTCCAGAGTCTCTTTCCCATGAGTCTAGATGATGAAGATGTCATCAATGTAGCATAGGTAGAGAAGGGGCGTTAGTGGACGAGAGCCGAGGAAGCGTTGTTCCAGGTCAGCCATGGACAGGGCAGTCCCATCCATAGGATAGTTCAGGGCAACCACCCAATGGTAGAACCTGTGGGACGCTGGGCAGACTGGGGGATTACCTGGGAGGCCAGGCATGGGACCACAGCAGGGGTCAGGCATCCCTGCATTCACCGTGGCAGTGGGAGCCATGGAAAATGGAGTGACCAAGAAGCCTGTGCTGCTCTGCCAACCTCTTCCAGCTGGGTCACTCCACTTCATTGCAGTGGCAGGAAGCAAAGCGCCCCAGCCTCCTTCCACCCAAGCTCTGGGCTCGGGCCCAGCCTGCACTGCTTCCCCAGGGAAATAGTGGCAGAGTGGAGGATACTGCTGGGGTCACTCCACTTCCCATGGCTCCTGCCACCATGGTGAGTGAGCAGGCCCCCAGGTCACGTCTCTCAGGGCAGGGGTACAATGAGGATAGGAGGGGCCGGAAGAGGGATGGGAAGAGGCAGGGGAAGGGAGGATTGCCCCAGACCCCATATCCCCCTAGAGATGACCCTGATGTGAGACTGTGTCAAAAGCCCTGCTAAAGTCCTGGTGTATTATGTTCACCACATCCCCCTTCCACCAAAGCAGTTACCTTGTGAAAATGGCCCCGCCACGTGCAGATTGCCTGTTGTAATGCGTCTGGAGCACTGCAACTTTGGGTCTTATTCGTGAAAAGCCAATTAGCTCTGCAAGTCCTTCTCCTCAGCTCCCTCCTGGGGCAGCCCCCGTCCAGCCAGCACACAGACCCCCGCCAGCTGAATCTGCCCCCTGCTGGTTACTCATCTCGGCAGCCTCCTATGTCCCCTGGGCTGAGGGGTCAGGGAGGAGAGGAACCACTGGACTCCTCCTCGCCTCAGAAGAGACACCCTTGTCCTCCTCAGCCCGCTCCCCTGGCATCACTGCCTGCATGTGAGGATGCGGCAGCTACCTGCTGGTGTCCCTACCGTGGAGGAGGGGCGAAGCCACAGTCACCCCCTGCCCCTAGCCAGTCCCTTTTCAGAGCTTCCTACACGCCTCCCCCTTGCGCTCCCGGGGAATCACGAGGCCCATTTGCCCCTCAGCTGCGGCTCTTCTTGTCCTTCCTGTCCCACCTGCCTCAGGATCCCACCTCCCAGCTCTGCTGCTCACCCCCAGTGCAACCCAGCCAGCAGGGAAGGGGTTAAGGTGGCTGGAGCACTCTCCCCCCCTCCTGGAGGATAACGGGGCCCCTGCCTTTCCCCGGGAGTAGGTTTCCTGACGTCAAGCCCATGAATATTGCACGAAGCTTCAGGATTGTAAGTGCAGCGAATCCTCCTCGGGCATAGGCAGCCGGGGCTCCGTGCCGGGGGTGGAAGCCATTGCAGCAGCGTTGGGGAAGGAAGGGAATCTCTCGCCGAGAAGAGGCTTTGGGCTGCTGCTGCTGCAAAGGGGGGAGGATTCACGCTGGGCTCTCCAGAGGTGCCTCTAGGGCATGTGACAGCAGCTCAAGGCACCGGAGCGGGAGGCGAGCAAGCCCGCTTCGAAGCGCAGCCCTCGAAGGAGAGCCCAGCTCACCCCCTCCGCCAGCATGTCTGCAAAGGAGCGGCAGAAAGGCAAAGTGACCAAGGACAGCGTCACCCTCTTGCCCTGCTTTTATTTTGTGGAGGTGAGTGAAGCACCTGAGCGCGCACCCTTCAGCTTTGGCATAATGCAGAGCGTCAGAGGCACTGCAGGAGCAACTTTGGTCCCTCGCACTAGCATGCTTCCTTCACTGGGGTCTGCTCTGGCCAGTGCCTGCCTTCCTGCCTAGGTGCATAGGCAGACACTAGCTCAGCCCAGCTGGGAGACAATATTCTGTGTATTATGCATGTGTGAGGGAGTATGTCAGTGTCTCTAATTCCTCTGCCAGCCTGAGTCCTTATGCCAGCGTGTGGCTGTGTCTGATCCCCTTGTGTCTGGATTTCAGAAGGGGTAAAATGAAGCTTTGCTTGTAAGATATTTGCATGGAGTTCACGTCTGGTTCTGAAACTGGGTCTGCATCATCTGAGCTGAAATCCGTCGTGGGGGGGAGGGGGTGCTCTTTGCAGTTCGAAAAAGAGAGAGTTCATTTTGATAATGTTTCAGAACCATTTTATGTAAAATATGTGGGTGATGCTTTGCATAATCACATCAGCATCAGAAATCCATCCCTATTAAACTCTTCTTTGCAATATCCAGACTGCTTTTATGGGAATTATTTCCGAGAGAATCATTTTGCAAATGGAGTGGCAGCTAAATGAAACCATGTCACAGACATAGGATCATCTCAACAGGAAGACATGTTTCAGAGAGGGGTTTATATGTAAACACATTGTGTATTATCATCTCCATGGAAGAAAAGACATGTTGGAAAATAAATGTTTAAATCACAAAGAGGTGTTTAAAGTTATTAAATAATAAGTATTGTGTGTTTTCTCAGTTCTCAGTAGCATGCCTGGATTGTCACAGGTATCTAGCTAATTACGCACACTTCCTATCTGGAAAAAGTGAAAGTGTTTATCAGATTTTGTACAGAAAGATTGAAACATGTCATGGCTGCTCTGTTGGTGCCAAGTGAAGTTACTTCCACAGGCAAAACACTGCTTCAGAACTGGTGTATTGCTTGGAGGGCTTTAGCCTCTTTTGACAGCACTCCATTCACTTGTAAGTAGAATAGACATGGTTTCAGCTTCAGGACATGTGTGTGTGTGTTTCCTATGTTTATTAACTTAGCACTAAGTGAACACAGCTTGTTTCTGATGACACAACTTACAGCAGGGCAGTGATTAAGTCTCTTGGCCTCAGTGCCTTCATTTCCCCACGTGTAACACAAGGATGGTGGTATTTGCCTCAGAGAGCTGTGCTGAAGTGAAAAGAACTTCGAAGGCTAAAACCAGGAAGTCTTAAGAGCTTAGCCTGAGTGGCAATATTAAAATTCTTGTTTAAAAATACTGAAGCAAAGATCATATTTAATTTTGGAAGAGGGGCTAGTGGTGCCAGGCTGTCTCTTTTCCCTCTAAATTGTCTCCTAGAAAAGGGAGCTGAAGCATATTAAAATTTTGGATGGGCCACTTTTCAGAAAATGTTAGATATTGAAGTCACAGATGTTTTATTATTGTAGATAAGGGCCACTTGGTGAAATTAACACATTGATAGAAGGCTCCTTCTTGGCCACACAATTCCTGTGGTATCCTTGTGCAGGGGAAAGAGGTCATGGCTAGAGAAGCCACACAGGTGGGGGAGGGACTCTCTGTCCTGTTCACACTGAACCAGTGGGTTCTATGCCAGCTAAGGTCTTCCCTTCACTGGGGCAGACAGGGGAAGGGGCCACTAAATCTCTACAGATGCAGATCTAGTAACCAGGGCTCCCTTCACACAAACAGAATAGCAGCCACTCAGAGATTTGGAGACCGAAACTCTATGGTCTGCCGCCACATTGTGGTGGGATGAATTTGGTAGCACACAGCCCAAGAACAGTGGTCACACTTAAAATCAGTTTTGCCTGGGATAACCTTACCTCAGTATTTAGTATAGACTTAAGGAGCTCAGTCTATTTAGCTTACCTAAGAGAAGAATAAGAGGTGACTTGATCCTAGTCTATTAGTATGAACATGGGGAATTCACATTTGACAATGGTTTCTTCAAATTAGCAGCTGAAGATATAACACAATATAATGATTGAAAGGTGACCCTAGACACAAATTCAGAGTGGAAGTGAGGATTACATTTTCAATTGTGAGAGTAAGTAACCATTAGAACAATTTACCAATTATTCATCACTGGCTATTTTAAAATCAGGATTGGATGTTTTACTAAAAGATCTTCTCTAGGAATTATTTTGTGGAAGTTCTTTGGCCTGTTTTATACAAGTGGTTTGACCTCACTAGATAGTCAGAATGGTCTCTTCTGGCTCTGGAATCTATTTTCAGTATTCCTTAGACACTCCTTATACTTTACTTTATATAGGGCAATACTGCAAACCATACTAGAGAGGCTGTAGCTCTTATAACTAAGTCACTAAACTAGAACTCAAGAGATAAGGGTTCAGTTCCCAGCCCTACTGCACACTCTATGTAAAATCTTGGGTAAGTCACAATCTCCCTGAATCACAGTTCCTCAGCTGTGAAGTGAGCATACCCCTTCTTCCTGTCTGTGTCTGTCTTGTCTCTTTAGGCTGCAATTCTCTGGGGCAGAGAGTGTTTTGCAGTAAGTATGTGTATAGGGTTGCCAGGTGTCTTGTTTTTTTTGCCAGAACAGTCTGCTATTTGTGGCCCCTGTCCGGTAAAAAAAACAGAAAATACCGGACATATAATTTTCGGACAGAAGGCCGGCGGGGACATCCTACCCCTTGCTGTGTCTGGTGGGGGCGGGAGAGTGGGGACTTTTGTTTGTTTGTTTTGCTCAACCAATTTTTTCCCCTGCCATGTTCGGGATTTTTTATGAAAGTATCTGGCAACCCTACATGTGTACAGCACCTAGCACTATGGGGGCTCTGATCTCAGTTGGGACCTTTAGTCTAGGCACTACTATAATAAAAATAATAATATATCCCTTGACTTAAGAAAACTGCTGCTGCTGTTAATTATTTGGTTATCCAAAACAACAGACAAAGCTTTAAGTATGACATTCTAAATAAATTCACTGGGCACAGACACTTTAGGAAATGTTGTCAGGTGACAAACTGCATAACAGAAAAACATCACAGGGCTTTTATAGTTAGGGTTTCTTTTTTGTAGTTGTTTTTAAAGTCTCCATTTTGAAATTCCATTTTCTACAGATTGACCTCCACTGGACAAATGTAAGGCTCTGCTTCTGCCCTTTGTTATGCACTTCACATTGATATAATGGGTAGTTACAGATGTTTATAGAGAAGGGAGAAGACCTCACACTGTTTTGCTTGTTTGTAGAAAAGGGCAAGACAAATAGAATTGTATGTATTTTTGTGCACCAGCCGCATCACTGATGGCCTCAGCAGTATGCCCACCTTGGACAATGAGTTTAGTAGTTATGGTAAATAAGCCAGGGAATCTTGCATATTACATCATTGCTATTGGAGAGGCATAGTGGAGAGGTTCTGTTATGCAGAAATGGGCTTTCTATGTACAGCACCTATCTGGGTTTCAATCCTCATTTATTGTAAAAAGTTGACAGGATACAGACCTTTACAAGTAGCCAGGAAAGCTAAAAACATAAGCTTTGGGATTGCAGGACAAGCTTTGAGGAACTTTCTACTTTGCCCATGTCTAGCATTGAGGACATTGACATCTATATTTGAATTTTAGGTTTGTCCCAATCCATATATTGTTTAAAAGCAAAGCTTTAGGTCCAGACAGATACAATATTTAGGGAACTTTGGATCCAAATTCAGAGATTCAAACTTTGCAACTGGGCCCAACATCAGTTTCCTTAATAGTTTAGGCAGCAGGGCCAACAGCCTGGCTGGGCCCCTGGGTAAGACCAGTGGGTGGGTGTGGGGGCTACTCTGCACCCCCCAGAAGAGACAGGGCCATGGGTGAAAGGGTGGGGTTGGGGGTGGGGCTAGGTAGCCCTCAGCAACACAGAGAGTCCACCACACCTCCCCTAGCCAAACCTCAGTGCTGCCCAGAGCATGCTGCAATTTAAAGGGCCTAAGACTCCAGCTACCACCAGTGCTAACTAGTGACAGCAGCTGGGAGCTCTGGGCCCTTTTGTACCTCTGGGTCCTGTAGCATTGTCCCCTTTGCCACCCCTTTTCGGCAGGCCTGGGATTAGGGGTGAGGCTGTTGTCTTTTTCTTATTTGTCTCCTTTTCTCCTGCGCTCGTATATTTGATGTCAGAAGGTCAGATTCTGCTTTCAGTTACACTTATGTAAATCAAGACTAAGTCCAGTAGATTTAGTCCACTTTTTCACAGGAATTGAGTCCAGAATATCCAGTATTCAAATTAGAAGATTGTTATTGTTGCCTTCCCCCCCATTCCAGCTGTACTGCTGTTCAGTCTAGTGGGAACACACAGAGTTATGGTTTCCCCACATACACCCAACTCTAATCGGACCACTGAGAATGTGCTCCTGAAACTTTATAGTACAGTGTTATGCTGAGATTGATTAAATGAAATAACCAGCGGTGGCATTAGCAGAAGGGGGAAAATGGTTTAAAATTTTTAAAATTGTGATTGGTTTAAGAAGAATGTGAGACTGGCTCCTCTCTCCTATACATATCTTTAAATCATAACTAGTTCTATTTAAGTCAATGAGTAGGGTTGCCAGATGGTTTAACCAAAAATACCGAACTCCCCCCCCCCCAAAAAAAACACAGGGGAAAAAATTCTGTTGAGGGAGGAAAAAAAGGGGGAAGACCAAAGCTGTTGAGAAAAAAAAGGACCCTGAGAGTTACTAAGCAAAAAATAATAATAATAATAATAATAAAAAATAAAACAGCATTAAAACAGCATGGCCCCTTAAAGTGTGTGAGGGGAGAGGTTGAGCACTAAGACCCAGGGAAGGCATTGCTTCCCTTGCTTCAGGTCTTTAGGCTTTTTGCCAGTGGCCATCTTGTTTTCTTGATCGAGCCCCCTCCCCCTGAGGGAAGCAGGTCCGGCCGCGGGGGGGGGGGGAGGAGGCTGGGGTCTGGGCCCAGTTGCCGAGTGTGTCGTAGGGTTGCCAGGTGT